TGTCAGATACAAGTTGATCACATGCTGTTGGTTCATTGTTATCTTGTCAGGGAGGGAATACAGTGAACTGGACTATTGTTGAAGACATTCTGAATTGATTGTGCTCTGGTTTTACTGGTAGTATGCCAAACTGTGAAGCTCCAGTTCAGGTATTTCCATAGGTCAGGCGAAATCAGTTTCACAGGGCTTGAGTGGTCCATGCAGGTGAAAGAGGAGGAAAGGAGAAACCTGAATATAAACATATACTTCATAAAGCTGCCTGTGTCTATGGCTTTTCTCCCTAAGCTTACTTCTACATGTTGTAACTTAAAGCTCCTTTGGAAGAGACCCTTACTTAACACCACTGCCATGGAGTTTACAGGAGAACAACAGGGCTAGCATTAAAAGTTTTAAGTTAAAGACTTAAAAGGACCCTGTATAGCTTCTTCACTCCCCACCTGAACAGCAACAACCCAGACTTAAGTTTGTGTTATACCACCCAAATAATGTTTATCTTTTCTCTGTCTGTTCCTGGCATTGTTCCGTCCTTATCTTAACACAATATACCAAACTAAGTTCCAACCTAAGCTTGCCTTGTCAGGAGGAAATGTGTTTTGTGGCTAGTGCAGACTTGGAAACCAAAAGGACATGAGAGTTCTCATGGTCTCTTCGTTCAGACTTCCTGTTTCAGCAAGTAGATCCCTTAGCTTTCACATGCTGTTTCTCCTTTAGTGCAAAGGGACTGAAAATATTTCTCTACTTCATAAGGATGCTCTGAAATGGTAATGTGCATTTTTAAGCCTAGATGGAAAGTACTACAGAAGTTCAAAGTAAAACAAAACACTTCACAAGAACACTGCAAAAACAGAAATTCCCCACATACTCTCAGACTGTTCCTCATTATGCTGGAAAATAACCCAGTACCTGGCTATAGATGACTGTGTTTTCCCTATTACAGTTGGTCTTCCTCCACTGTTAGTATACTGTAAGGATCTGCTGAAAAAAGTTTAATTACACAGCCCAAAACCAATTCAATGCTGAAGCATTTAATGTGAATTCAAGTGAAGAGTAGGCTGGTTGGTTTGTGGTTGAGGTTTTCCCTCCCCCTCCATTTTCTGCAGAATTTCCATGCATTTTGTTTTAAAGAAGTGGTCTCAGGATTTCTCTGCAGCTCTTATATAAGGAAAGAGAATCTACTTTATCTGAATACCATGGGAAACTTTAAGTAGTTAACTTTTTCAGTTAAATGGGGTCTTTTAACTGACTTACGGACAAGCAATCACACTGTTAGCTATTAGGATTACTCTGTATGATCACTGAGAAATAGGGACATTAAATGCTTTTTGACCATTCACTCGGAAATCAAACAGCTGTTGAAGAGTTTTGCTTTTTTAAAAAGTAATATTCACATACCAAAGATGAAATTATCAGGCCGAAAGAGCTGACCGAAAGGACCGGAGCGCACACTATCCATGGTTCCTGGCTCCAAGTCCACCAAGACTGCTCTTGGTACGAATTTCTGGGCTACAATAAAAAGTAAGCATGCCCTTAATGCTCTGAAATAAGCTAACAGTTACAGCTCTTAATACACAAATATATTATGTCTCATATTGTTAGTCTAATATATAGGTCATACATAGATAAGCATTTCCTGTACAGAAAGTCACAGTGGTGAAAAATCCCTGCATCACAGGAACAAATCAATTCCACTTGAAAAACAGACCTGACATCCTTTGGGTTCTATATTTTGTAAGCTCTTTATTAGCAGTAGGTATGAGGGAGGGAAGTTTCTGATTAGAAAAATGGTTTACATGTTCTTTAAAAGAAAGTAGCTAAGCTTTTCTATGACTAACAGGGTGAATGAAGTGTTTATGTTCAAATTATCCTAAAAGGCTTTCATGCTTGAAGGATTCATCTCCACTGGAGGAGCTACTTGGTCTATGTGGCAAACAGTAGTAGTCAGCACATCTACCACAAAGCACAAAATAAACATTCTGTATCACGTTGAAATTGTTCAAGGAAACTCAGGTAAGTAATATGAATTAACCCAAGCTAGACAAAAAGATGAAACACTTGCACTTGCATGTTCGTGTCAACAGACCAAAGGACTCAAGAGCCCCATTTTAAACTGTTAACACCTTTCATCACCAGACTGACTCAGAGCTTTAGGTGCCTGTGGCATCTTATTAATGCATCACTGTTCAGTCCTCTATCACCTGTGGCCCAACCCTCTCATTCAGGAGTACTCCAGATGCAGGCTCATATAACCAAGTTTAATTTGGGGTAATTGACAAGATGCATCTGATGAAGCACTAGCGAATTAGAAGAGCAAACGCCTACTGCAATGTTAAATAATAAACAAACCTCCACCTCCAGACCCCAAGAACAGCCCCTGGTGCCATTTCTCTTTGTCTGGGGAGGTAACACCCAATTATCTTAATACTTTGTAAGAAAGTAGGTCATCTTTCTGTGTATAATGGGTTGGGTTGGGCTCAGCCGGGGGGGCCGATGGCCAGATATGCAATACAACTTCACGAGCCCGTTCTCTCCCAGATTCCTGTGCCCCTTCCCACGGCGTCCCCGTCCCGAACCCCTCCCCGTCCCACACTTACAAGATGATTCATTATAGTAGACATTGATCCTTTCCAGCTGCAGCGCTGAGTCACCGACATAGCCTCCGGCTGGGTCAATGCCATGCTCATCACTTATCACTTCCCAAAACTACGGGGAGGAAAAGGAGAAGCAGTGG